TCTGCTCTCGTGTGTGGGCACTATTTGGAAACGGGCAGCTTCTTTGAGTTATTTACTCCTTTTTTTCCCCTGTGCTGTGTCCTCAGGTGGCTCCCCTGACTTTGTAGGTCCCTTCTCAGTTTCTTACTGGGTGACTGTATTAGTTTCCTGGGGCTGCCAGAGCAAAATATCATAAACTGCATGGCTTAAAACAATAGAAATGTCTTCTCTCACAGTTCTGGAGGCTCAAAGAATGAAATCAAGATGCCAGTAGGGCCATGCTCCGTCTGAAGGCTCTGGGGGGAGTTTGTCTCTACCTCTTCCTAGCTCTGGTGCTGCTGGCAATCCTCAGTTTTCCCCGAATTGCAGCTGCTTCACCCCAATCTGCCTCCATCTTCACATGACCTTCCCTGTGTGTCTGTGTGTGTGTATTTCTTCTTCCTATAAGGACGCCATTCCTTAGATTTAGGACCCACCCTAATCCAGTATGAGTGCTTCTTAATTTAATTATATCTGCAAAAACCCTATTTCCAAATAAGGTCACATTCCAAGGTTCCAGGTGGACACGCATTTTGGGGATGACATTTATTCAACCCACCACAGTGACCTGAGCCAATGTGAGCATGTCCACAGTTGGAGTTGGTCTGACCGTCACTGGTCAGTGTTCAGGCTGTGTGGTCCATCAACAGATGTTCGTGGTTGAAGGTGATGATTATATGGGACAAGGTTAGGAGAGGGATTCGAGTAGACAGCGCCTGGACCATCATTCCTGTCAATGCGCTCCTCCAACAAAACTTGAGTTTTTTTTCTTTTTTTTCATTTCTGTCCTCTTTCCTCAGGGACAGACAGATACTTCAGGAACAAATAGATAGATCTCCTTCGAAAAATTCCATTCCCTACCCCAAAATGAATTTTAAATGGAAAAGGACTAAGGGCATTAACTTTTCATTTTATATTTCAAATGTGCTTAAATTTTTGCTAGGTCAACACGATATGTCTTTTTCCATAAAGACCCACCAGGCCTTTTTAGAGAAGGCACAGAAAGGCAAGTCTCTCTTCTCTCTCACAGAATGCTCTCGTGAGTCTGGCTGGGTAGCTCACTTGGGAGAGCATGGTGCTGAGAACGGCAAGGTCAAGGGTTCAGATCCCCGTACTGTCCAGGCAAAAAACAAAACAAAACAAAAACTCCAGAATGTTCCCATGAGTGAACCTCTCTCCTGAGTCTGGAGAGGAAGGCACCACCATCAATACTGGCAGAGCATCTGCTGCCAAAGAGAAGGCCGAAGAACTGGACAGACCCTATTGAAACGGAATAACATTGTCTAACGATAGGATAGGGCCAGCTTTTCAGATTTGGCTTACTAAGGCTTAGGCGTATTTTACTAACTTAAATTTCTCTCTGCTAAGCTTTTGGACACTTAAGAGCAGTACAATCTGCATTTGTAACATTGTTTTTCTTTCCGAAAAATAAAAAGGTGATCTCTTTAAGAAGAGTAATTGCTTAAATCCTTAACCTCGGCTTCCCACCCTGAAATGACATAAATAAGTCTGAATCCTGCTCTGAACAAAAATCAAAAGTAATGATTATTGAGAATCACCTGATATATTTACTTTTATCTATCATGTGCTTGGATTTGTATGCTACATTCGTTTAGAAAATACTATCCTAGAAAAAGAGCTTCATTATCTTTTACATTTCATTTTCCTTATATAGTCCTGAAATATAGCTACAGAAACAAGCCAAAAAATATCAATTCATCGTGAAGTCATCAGTGAGAGAACGGAGGCATCTGAGCACTGGAAGAATAATGTCGGCCTTATTATCTAGAATGTGGCTTAAGATGCTGTCTTATCTTAAAATAGAAAAGGCCACCCACAGCTCTAATTGTCTATATGAAGACCTAAGGTGGAGGTGAAGAGGAAGGACTTATGTGGGGCAAAGCGACAATCTCTGTCCAAGCTACCTGCCCCCTTTAACGCTAGACGTTAGGAGAGGAGACTGGAAAGTACGAAGGAGGAAGCAGGGAAGACAAGCACCGTCTAAAGGCAAATGGGACAGTGTCTGAGTGGATGCCACTTAAACAAATGTCGAGAAGCAAATGAAAGTACCAACACAAAGGAGGGTGCTGCCCGTTCATTGGCTGGTTGGTCGTTGCGTCTTGCTTTAAGCACAGATCTGCTAACAATCTCATAACTGTGTTTCCTGTCTGTGTGGCAGAGTGGGAATGCCTGGGTTGAGTCGGGATGTGGCTCAGGTACCGGCTTCATGACCTACTAACCCTGAGCTTACTGAGCTCATAATGAATATGGGAATAAACAATGCATTTGAAGCAGAACTTTCAGGTCCTTGGACGACAGGGATTTTTAAGAATAATAATACTCATTTTAATTTTATTTAAAAATCCAGTCTCCACTGACAATGTATCTCAAACTTGCCTAGAGTTCTCCCAGGTCTGCCAGAGCTTGCAACTGCATCACTGGTGAGGTCCTTTCTATGCGTAGCCCAATCTCACTTGATCCCTGAAAACTTTTTGACCACACCTGGCTGAGTGAGTCACTTCCTTCCCAGTTTTTCCTTTTATGCCATCCTAATCAGAGCATCAAAACGCCACCATGATATTACCCCAGGGCTAACTGTACAGGTGCATCTTCCTCCATGAGGTTATGGGTTGCTGAAGGGTGGGGGCTGCTGTGTCTCTCTGCCTCTCTGGTCTCTTCCTAGAACATAGCAGGGGCTCAGCAAATACTCACAGGACAAAACTGCTGACAGGCAGGAGCAGCAGAGGAAGTAATTTCTTTAATGTGAATAAAGATCTAGGCTCTGTTGGAAAAACCAAGAATGTAAGAAAATTCACATACTAAAATCTACAATCTTTATCATGATATAGACATGGGTGATCGTTTGGTGTGTTGCCAACATTGATTCTCAGTAAATGGCAAATGATAATAGAAATTGCTTGAAACCTTTCACCTGCTCAGTCTTTACTTGCTAAATTCATTTTAGGCCTTTCCCAGGGCTATTTTCTTCCTCTCCTAGCCCAATTTGCGCATCAATGTGGTATGATTCATAAACACATTCAAATAAGAGAGGAGCAATCATAATTTGTTTTGCAGGAGGGCAGAAGTTTAATGAATTAAGGGAGAAGTTCAAGTTTCACTATATATTAGTGGGTTTTCCTCTGTCACTCACATAATGAACTCAGAAAAGTAGGAAATCACTCCGTCTGGTTGCATCTTGGCTAAGGATACCCACTTGGTTTACAAAAAGCTCTTTTTAAGCCAAACATCTGCCTTTTTTGCTTCCTATGATGTGGTCACCCCTAGCCAGCAGCAGAAGCAGCAAGGGTCAAGCTCGTGCATGCAGATGTGCAGAAGGACAGATAGCCATCCAGTCTGCCTAACTTTGCCCTGGGTCATTTCCCAGACCTTAAACTCAGCCAGATGATTTACAAAGGAAACCCATGGAGTTACGCGGGTCTAGCTTCTTCTACTTTTTTCATCAAATGATGCTGAATCTACACTCCTATTGGTGGTGGCGCACATCTGTAAAGACATAATTATACGACTGTATTATTTAGAGAGAATTTTAAGGGACAGAGCTAACCAGGTCTTTACTGACCATACTTCGACAAATGATTCTAAGGCACTTCTTTCCACAGTCTTTATTAGGAATGATGACACTCTTTGTAAGTAGAGGATGATGAATGGAAAAAATCGGAGGTGACAGGTCCAAAGTGCCTGCAGTTTTAGCTTTGGAAGTGTTATACTTCTTTTGATGGGGCAGGGGTTTTCTGAAGGATAGTAGAATTTAAGTGGTTATAAAATCGATGCCTCAATAGGGGATTTTGAAGAACTAAACATTTGGCTGATGGTAGAACCCATCCAGAGAAATCATGTCAAAAGTTCATTATTTCGTGACCTGGAGGAAAAGCAAAATTGTCAGAGGATTCCCATTCCTGCTCGTGCATGCGTGTAGATATCTGTCGAGACAGACTCGTTACCTCATTCTCTGCACATGCATTCACACAAACACGCACACCCCTCTCAAGACTGGAGGTTCAGAACACTGGGATGAATATTCATCAGATAGTTATTATTAATGTCACCAAGGTGATTCTGTTCTTTCTCAGTAGAGACTTGGTTTTATACCTAGAAATCAATCAACTCTAGGAAAAATGGCAGCTAAAGCAATCCTGTACATTTTACTTTTGAAATATAAATTATTTGCTAGGTGTTTTTAATCATCTCTTTTTGCTTCCATCCCATCAATAACTTCATCCAGCAGAGATTTCCAACTTTGCTACAAAGTTCAACATCCTTTGGGAGCACAGTTTCTAGAGTTTAGAAGAACTATATCTTCATTATTATGTTCTTTCTTAACAGCAAAAATTAAGTAAGACAGAAAGAGGATTCTAAGAAATCTCAATAGATTTCTGGGGGATGGTTTTTGTAAAAATGCATTAGAAGAGAATTACAACGCATTTGCAACTTTCAACATTTAAGAAAACATTTAACAGAATAGGCCTTATTAAAGACTTGTTTCTGAGAATTATAGGTTCTTGCAGTCACACGGAGAATTTTTAAAGAATAAAAGTAGCTATTGGTGGCAGCTAACCAGATCCCTATGTATCTGTCATAGACTGTCCCCAACCAATTGACCTGGCTTGATTATTCTTCATGCATGATATAGTGTGAAACTACTATGAATATTGCTTTCAATCAGAGAAAATGACTTATTTTTGGTTGTAATGAAAATGTTTATTTTTTGCCTTAGATGGAAGCAATCACGTCAAACACTGGTGTAGGTATAGGACAGTGGAAGATGCTTCTAGCTCTTCATTTCTAATTAGAAATGGTTTTTGTTAGCTTCTTATACTCCATTGCCACATCAACATTCATCTTTCCACGACAGTCTTATCCTTAGTAAGACAGTGATTGAAGTTATGGGAAAAAACAAAGTGTCTGATGACAGGACCCCAGGGGAAAGTAGCAAGAGGAGACATGCATGACACAGGACTGACCTTAGGCACCCAGTGGCATTGCGCAGCACCTGTGATGAATGCAGCTGTATTTTCCGATCATCCTGAAGAGGTGAATTTTCCCAGCCCGAGTGGGGGATAATCACCGCATTGGTCAACACTGCTAGGGCATCCTGGATGATTGGCATTTTGAGAGCATCGCATGATGAGAGGTTCCAAAGGACTCCTGCAAGAGACACACACACAGAGCTTTTGGTGGCTACTAATGTTTCTTATCTCAAACTGTTTTTCTTACTGGAGTTAACAGCACTGGCAGGAAGGATTAACGTCATGTGGATATGCATCCTAGAGCATGCCCTTAATGTTAGAACATCTGTGTGAACCCATTAAAAGCGTGCTGTGCAAATATATATGAGTAGAAGAATTGTGACATGATTATCTTTGTCACATCATGAAGAGTAGCCACGGTTAAGAGATCTGATCGAATTGAGGCTCTCAGCCAGGGTATTCGTACACTTTTCATACAGTGGACCCAAGTTCCCAAATTCCAACCAGGACCAATGAGATGTGAAAGTTATTTGAAATGAACTGGTAGAGCATCTTTGCTTTACCCACGGCCTCAGTATCCACACTTGGTCTCTGATTCACTTAGCTCCTGTGTATGATCAGCCACCATCGGGTAGGGCCTCATGAGATCCAGCATTGGGTCTGATGGCAACGAGTTCAACAAGCAATTGAAACTTACTGTCATCTGTGACCATTTTGATAGCTTATAGCTTTTCTCTGAAAGCAGTTGATGGAGTTTGGATGTGTTGTCCCCTCCAAAACTCATGTGGAAATCTGATCCCCAATGTGCCAGTGTTGGAAACTGATTGAGTCATGGGGGCGGATTCTCATGAACGGATTAATGCTCTCCCTGGGGGAGGAGGGGTAGTGAGTGAGTTCTCCCTCTATTAGTTCCAGCGAGAGCTGATTGTTTAAAGGACCCTGGTACCTCCTCTCTCTCTCATGCTTTCTCTCGCCATATGATCCGGCACCCACCGGCTGCTGCCACTTTCCACCATGAGTAGAAGCAGCCCGAGGCCGGTGCCAGATGCAGCTGTCCCAGAATCGTAAGCCAAATAAACCTCTCTTCTTTATAAATTACCCAGTCTCAGGTAATTCTGTTATAGCAACACAAAACGGACTAAAACAGCAGTGCTCATGAGAGGGAGAAGTAGAAAGTGGGAGCATGTCCGCAGTGGACAGAATGTAACAATAATTAATGTAGGCAGAGCCAAAAGCAAATTTTTTAGGGCAGATGGAATGTTTTAGCCTTTTAAATATTTTTTTAAATGAGACTACTTCTAGAAAATATCATAAGCACTTCCTATATGTTATGTCATTTGGAACTGCTTTTAAAAAATTATTCTATTTTTTGTTCTGAATAGTACACATAAAGGAAAAGAAACAGAATAATATTAAATGTTCCTGTGAAAGAAGAACTGTATGCTCCCTCGACCTAAGCAGCCACCAACACTGTAGATATGGAGAATAAAATATTTTAGTTGTTATTAGAAACACAACTTCCAGCTTATTTAATAAGCTACTGATACATTTTAACCAGATGAGAGTTTTGTTTCATCTACTGTGTTATGAATAGAATAAACAGAAACACACTTATTTCTGAAATTTGTTTCATTAATTCCTTGAATTTCACATGTTGACCTATATAAGGGCATTAATAATACATATCTGACTGTTAATAACTAAATATACGTGACTATATAAATATACGTGACTGTTAATAACTAAATATACGTGACTTTAAAAATAAAGTGCCTATAAAGTTCTATAAAAATGTGACTATACAGACCAACTCTTCCAACTGTCATTAGAAACAACATTTACTAGGAATTTTACTTAAGGAAATGCAAAGGAAACAAAATGTTTTTGGTACCTAGTATGTATAAATCAATCTTTTAGTACAGGGGGTTAACTTGAGAGTAAATCTGTTTTTGTAAATAAAGTTTTACTGAAACACAGCCGTGTCTGTTCATTTACATATTTTCCATGTGTGCTTTTGTCCTATAAAGAAAGTGTTCAGTATTTGTGACTGTACAGCCCACAAAGCCAAAACAATTTACTCTCTGGCCCTTTACAGAAAAATTTTGCCCAGTACGGCTTTCGTGCATTGACCATGCTCTATACACTTTTGTGAGCATGTTTGTATTGCCATTAGTATCCTAAACTGAGTGTACAAAAAATGCTCAATGGTACACAGAAGGTGCTCGAAATATATTCTGATTTGTAGTAATTTAACATAGCAAGAATATTAACATATGCATTTATCTTGTTTTAATTTGAATACAGAGTTGTGTATTCATCCATTAAGAAATTTTTTCACTAAATTTTCATAATCTAAATAATCAAAATGATCACCTTCATTCATTCGCAGTCTTGCAAAAAATTATTTTTTATAGTAAAATAATTGATTTTTCAATTTCAAAAAGTGCATTAAAAAGAAATTAACATATACCCCATTATTGGAGGATAACTTTTAAGAATATCACGATAAGTGTTTGTATCTGTTCTTCTAAGTATATAATGAAATATACAGAAACAAAATGTGAGTTTTTTTCATTCCCACATCCTGATTTGAAAATACGAACACATGAAAATTGAAGCTTGTAAATGTTTTAAAATATGTGTAATATGTTTTGTTGTATAATATGTCTCCTCTAAAAATTAAACAGCAAAAGAAACTTTTGCATTTTTACATGCAATGAATTTAAAAGGATTTAAAGGTATTCTGTGATAATAAAGCCATTTTTACTGTTTTCTAACAAACAGAAAAGAGATAGGGAAAGAAAGTGGCGGGTGTGGAATCCAAGCAAAACTGAAGGCCTAATCTAATGCCTCACAAGAAGCAAAAGGATGAAAAAGAAGGCACTATTCAAGACAAGTCTTCATGGAGTGTTCTATCTCCACCTCTCTCATCAAGTTATTAATCAGTGTAAACTAATTTAGAATTGTGCATGAACAGAAGTGTCTTAGTTCACATTCATTCCACCTTTTCAGGCTGGCACCATCTGCGAGTCACATTCCAATGAACTTATCACAGCTCTTGACCCACGTCCCTGAACCTTCTGTTGTCATTTATACCTGCAGCCCACAAGTGCTTCCGTAACTTATTAGAACTACAGGGAATCTCTATCAGGAACAACTCGGTCACCTCTAGACACAGACTTGGCAAAGTCGATGTTATGTGGCAGAATTCAGCAAACCAGTTGCAGGGCGAGTTTTGTTTAGATTATCTGGAAACAGAGACAAACTAAGTGTAGATGCAGCAGTTTCTACAGTTAATTAAGATAAAAGTTGGGGGGCCGGCCCGGTGGCGCACTGGATAGTGCGCCGCTTGGGAAGCGCGGCGACGCTCCCGCCCGAGGGTTCGGATCCCACATGCGGACCGGTTCCTGCTCACTGGCTGAGTGAGGCATGGGAGCAGCACCGAGGGTTGCAATCCCGTTGCCGGTCCCC